GAGCTCAAACAATCCGCCCGCCTCAGCCTCCCAGAGAGCTAGGATTACAGGCGTGAGCCACCGCGCCCGGCCTAAAAATTATTATTATTATTACATACCTAGGGATTTCTGGAATACAAAATTCAGGTTCAAGACTGTGGACAACAAAAGGGAAGCATCATTATTGTACATTTTTTCTTTTTTAAAATCCATCTCCCATCACTGACTTACACTCCCAAATAAAGTAGTCGTACATAAACTTTTGCCTCAGGCCCTGCTTTCTGGGGAACCTTGATCAAGCCAGACATTATTTATGTTATTAATTTGATTATCCCTCTGAGAAGCTCACAGAGATCTAAAGTCTATCAGAACAGCAAGGCATCTGTTGGGAGAAAACAGCTGTGGAAGACCAAACTCTAGGATAAATGAAAGATTTTTCTGATTCTCTAGGGCAGTAAAGCTCCAAAGCTGAAACAATGCAAAAAAGAACTAAATAAGACCTTAACAAAAGAAATCTGAGGTGACCTCTCCTGAGAGGTACTTTCACTCCACAGACTTCCACAATCCTGTGGGTACCCACAGTCACACAGAGCATCACCTTTATGTTTAGAGCCTTCCCCTACTTTCTAGCTCTAGGATCTTCATGGTTTGTAACATTCCCCCCTTCACCCAGATGAAACATCAGTGCATATAATTCTCCCATTTTCACCTGGGATGGGCAGATCCCAGCCCTTGATGGAGACCCAGGCTCTGCTCCATCTGGCTTTATCATTACCTTGGAAATGTCCATTTAATCTCCTTTCATAAAATTGAATTCCCTGGGAGGCAGAACAGAGTAAATATTCAAGAGCTGGGGCTCTTGAATGAAAGAGGCTGGATTCACATCCCAGTTCTGCCACTTCCCAGGTGAGCTTGGGCAAGCTACGTAACTTCTTTAAGCTTCCATTCTTCCATCTGAAAAATGGGGATCACCGTCGTGCCAAGTTCACTGGATTATTATCAGGATTAAATGAGATAATCTGGGTAAAGTGTTTAGCACAGAGCCTGGCACACTGAAGAGACACTATAGAAACAACCTGTCGTTTTATCTAAAGGAAAAGCTGAGAAGATGTCCTATGGGGCTTATTAAAATTGCTTAGGGAAACAAAAAGAAGGCTTTACTGTTATTGGGACAAGCAGACTAGCTCTGAGGGCTTTTAATTAATTAATTAAAAATCCACAAAGGCCTTGAAGTACTGATACTTGTTTAGAAAGATCATTGACTCCAGGGAAAAAGCAGAGTAATTTAGAACACAAATAAAGTGAAAGCAGTGACACTGAATAAACCAAGCGGAATGAGGAATGCCTATTACATAGGTAATAGCATTTTTAAAAATAAATATCAATATGTAAAAAATATCTGAAAGGAAACGCTTTCAGAAAAGAAACTGATAATATTGGTTGATTCTGGGGAGGAAAAAGGGATGGCTGCAGGAATGGGGTGGGGGGAGATTTCTACTTTAGGTCCATTTGTACCTCTTGAACTTTGAATGATATAAATGTACTATCTGTTTAAAAAAACAAAGACAATTTAAAATTTGCAATACCATTTGTATCTCTACATTTATCCATCTCTTACAGGAATGTAAGCAGTACGTTGGCCGTGTGCCACTTTAATTCTCTTGTTCATCCAGTAGTACCTGCTCAAATTGGAGTCATGGTAACCAGAAAGAATGGTTATAGGTGTACACCTTGTATATTCATTCCTATTGATTATGATTAACATTAACATCACAACATTCATTTAACCATCCCTTTAAATCTCGACCAAGTGCACCCTCTGGCTTTTGGAACACAGGCTGACTCTCCTGAGAATCTTTCAACCGTCCCTGAGGCAACAGGAATAACATCGTTAAGATAGTTCTAAATTTTCATGCAATATTCAATGTCTATTTAAAACAAACATTTGATGAGCCCCTACCATATATCAGATATAACTGAGCTAAGCTCTGAGGCTACAAAGATGATTCTCTGCTTTTGAGATGCTCAGAATCTTATAGGGGAACTAAGTACTAACTTCCTATATGTATGGCACAGACCCAGCTTCAAAGTACTATACTGAAAGCTTCCCTCTAAGGGCTACAACATAACTCTTCATACTGCCCAAACGGAGAGAATGGCAATTACCAGGAACAATCAAAATCTTTCTTTTTGGCTCATGGACTCAAAGTATCTAAGGAGAGTCAGCAGGCAGTGGAGGTAGAACTGGAAAGACAGAGGAAGAGGGAGTCCACTCAACAGAGCTGCCCCTGAACAACCTTCCAGTTCCAGAATCCAGCTCTGATGCCTGTTCTCTGGGTGTCTTAGATTTCCTCAAGTGTTGTAATTCCTACAGGTATCTTTAGAATAAGGTATTGTCTGCCTATAGTCCCTTCCTCCTTATTTGGTTAACAGATCAAGCTCACCTGAACACAAAGGCAGTACTATCCCAAGATAGACCAATTATAGTAACTCATAAGCTAATACAGTGACGGGACCAAGCTGTGGGCCTGTGATCCAAGCTAAGTTCATCACAAACTTTCCCTGAGACTTTTCCAAGTGGAATTGTCACAAAGGTAGGAGAATGTGAGTTTAGAGCTCCCAGCAACCATGTTTCTAGCCTTTAGGGAAAGAAAGGCCTGAGAATGAGTGGAATACACACAAGAATCAGGGATAAGAGATGAAGAGATGGGGCAGGGGGAGACATACACATCCCTGATGATGTTGCAGTCTCTGCTTACAGCTCAACCTCTGTCTTTCCCATAGGCCAATTAATTTTTCTTTTTTGCTTAAACGAGTTGGAGTTGTTTTTGTCACTTAAAACCAAAAGACACCTTGACTAATATAGCTCCTTCTTGAAACCAAAAAAGACTAACACACTTGATACCATGCAATAAGAGCTACAGCACTAGAATTAACATAGTCCATAGGAACACAGAGGGAGAAGAGATTAATTCTATCTGCTATGGGAAGCAAGATTGAGTCAGGCTTCAGAATGAAGGTGGCATTTAACCAAGTTAAGACCAAGAAGTCAGTCAATAGAAGAAGTTGTAGTTTAGCTGTGTTAGAGAATGGCAATAGATGAAATTGGATATATACGTGGGAGCAAATTATAAAAGTCATTAATTGCCATGTGCTAAGGATTTAGGACTTTAACCAGGAGGCAATGTAAAAGCAAACCAAGGCTTTGACGGGTAATCACATGATTAGATCTATCTTAGAAAAGAGATTCTGTGGAGGGTAAACCTGAGAACTGGAAGTAGAGAGACTAGTTAAGAGGCTACTACAATAGTCCAGAGCCAACTGAAATATATACCCCGGATTTTAAAGGCTTAGTACTTGAAAAAAAAATGTACTGTAAACATCTCATACACCTACTCCTCTAGGTATGTGTTCACTAACCAGTAGACAACAGGGCCAAATAGGTTTTATCTGGACTATACAGACTTCGAAAAAAAAAATAATCCTTTTATAAAATGAATTGCCAACATTTACTTTGTTATTTTTTAATTTTTTTTCTTATTTATTTATTTATTTATTTTCAGGCAGGGTCTTGCTCTTTTGCCTGGGCTAGAGTGCAGTGGCATCATCACAGATCACTGCAACCTCAAACTCCTGGGCTCAAGGGATCCTCCTGCATCAGCCTCCTGAGTAACTGAGACTATAGGCATTCACCACCATGCCCAGCTAATTTTAAAATATTTTTCTGTAGAGACAGGGTCTTGCTATGTTGCTCAGGCTGGTCTGGAACTCCTGGCCTCAACTGATCCTCCCATGCTGGCCTCCCAAAGTGCTAGGATTACAGGCATGAGCCACTGTGCCTGGCCTAATTACCAACCTAATTACCAATTTAAAATTCAAATTTAGAAAAATTCTTATTTTGGTTTCTTTTGTCATACTGGAAGACAGGACATATTTTTTCTTCATCCCAACTATGCAATTATTTTATAGCTTTGTGCTATTTGTTTTTATAAGCTACTTTGTATTCTAATAGGCAAAGAAAGAATTTATGCACAGACAGCTACAAGCTCAGGCCTTGAAACTGTGATGAGAAGGAGATACAGAACTGATTAAGCACTACCCCCAATCCTCGAGGAGCTTGTGGGGAAGATAAAACATGATGCAGAGAGAATATTTCACAGCATAGCTTCAAATGTATATAAAAATGCTTTCAATGATCATCCATGACTTACATTCATTTTTAAAAGTGACTAAGTATAAATTTTACATATTTCCTTTACATCATAATATAGTTCTAGGAGTCCAGATTTTGGAGTCAAATTGCCTATGTTCCAATCCCAGCAAATCGTGTGACCTTGAGCAAGTTCCTTAACCTCTCTGTGACTGAGTTCCTCAACTGTAAAATGAGGATAAAAATGCCACCCTACCTCACAGAGTTATTGTGAGGGTTAACATAAACAGCTATAATAATAATAGTAGCACATCTGCTGCTATAATTACAATTACTACAACTCCTCCTCCTTCTTCTCCTATCACTATTGTTATTATTACCTACAGCCTATCAAGGACAGTCCTGAAGGTGAACTCTGACAAATGGGGCCAGGTCTAAGTGCACAACTGAGACTGGATAGGGCAAAGAAGGGGGAGAAAAAACTGGAGTGGTAGCTCAGTTGGTGAGGGTAGGTAGGAAGCTCTGAAATGCTGGAGTGGGTGCAGTGGAATCCCTACAAAGGTGTTGGAATTCAGCTTCGGTCAACTCTTAACATTTAGAGAGCAATGCCGTTGTTATTGTTGTTTTCCAGGGATTACAAAAACCAAAACAACTTTAATTAGCAAAAAAAAAAAAAAAAAACCGAAAAAAATTAACAAATTGGACTTTGGGATCATTGTATTTAGTTTCTAGGACAGTAAAACAAATCAAAAGACATTTTCAGTGTCCTTTTCTGACTTGTTTTTTAAAAGCAACTTTCTGGGGCTCCTTTGGGGTAAGAACAGATTCAGCCAACAATAAATTGATAACTATGCCCTGTGTTATTTTAAATGCTGCAGGGGCTCAGTGTCGAGTAGTCTGAACAGTCAAAAGACAACACTACCATGATTTTGGAAATTTCAAGTCAATTTCACCATCTCATAGAAGGCTGACGCTTGGACTATGGAAGTGATCCGTTGTCAGAACCCCTCATTTTACAGAAGATGAATACAAGGCTTGGGAGATCAAACGATTTGCTCAAATTCTACGTAAGTTTTTATGGCCGAGCAAGTTATATCTAGCTAGTACACAGTGAGCGCTCATCCCTATTGGCCATTAAGCTGTTTCCAAGTATAAGTAGAAGAATGTTGGGCAGGGACAAGGGCTGAGAGAGGGAGCAGGAAGCCCTGGGATGGGACGCGGCTGTTTTCATTGTTTGAGGGGAGGAGCTAGCGCGAACAAATCGGCAGGTCAGAGAGTGGCAGTGTAGACACGCCTGTCAGAACCGCCCAGTTATCATCCACACCCACGTAGACACACATCCCTTCCTCGGCGCTCGACCCTAGCATGAGGAAAAAGCCGAGTCGAGGCGCACCTCCAGCCGCGTGGATCCTTCCTACCTTCTCCTGCGGCACCTCTGGGGGAGGTGCCAGAACCTCTGGGGGAGTCCGGGGTGAGGACTGGGTCCTGCACGTGGGGCTGGGGACAGGGCGACCGGCTGTCGCCGCGGTGCCTCTTACCCGCTTGTGGCCTTGTGAAGCCGACTGTCCGAAGGGCAAAAACCGAAGGCCAGCCCAGCTCGCGACTCGCGCTGGGTTTGGAGCCAGGAGCCCGGGACGCCACGTTGCCATGGAGACGGGGCCGCGTGCAGCTGAAGCCAGGGGAGCGGCGGCCGGTAGAGGCCTAGGGGGTGGAGCGGGGGCGGGCGGAACCCTGGGAGCGAAGGAGGGCGCGAGGCGGAGGGGGCGGGACGGGGAGGTTCCGGGGCGGGGCCGGAGAACGGGGTGGAGTGGGGCCAGCTCTGGGCGGGACTGAGCGGTGGGGCTGAGGGGGCTGGGAGAGGGCGGAACAAGCTTTGGGGGTCGCGGGCGGGGCGCGCGACCGGGTTGAGCTAGAGCCTCGGGGTCCCTAGGATCCCGCAGTGCTGCGAATTGCTTGCCGGCAACGTCGGACGGACGTGCGCACGTGCACCGGCTACTTTGAGGAGGGCCGAAGGGAGACAGATTGGAACGTCGATGTCCATACCTGATTCTAAGCTGAGGAGAGGGAAAGAGGCGGGTGGCTTCGTTAGTGTTTTAAACTTGTGGAGTAAAAGAAGTCTTCAGTTGGGAGAGATGAGTGTCCTTGGATGTGGATGAACAAATGTCCCCTGCAGGACTTGGTCCCCGAACCTGAGGTCGCCCCAAGAAGATTATAGGTTTCCTGGGGAGTCTCTGGACGGCAGTTTTCTCAGAAATCAGATTCAAGAGGTTAGGAGAGACCTGCCGCTCCCACCAGCGGGGGCCAAGTCCAGGTTCCCTGCTTAAATAACTACTTTGGTCATAAAGGGGTGGGGGAGCTTTTCTGTTAGAAAATTCTAATTGTCCCTCAAGCCTGGCTTCTAGAAAGGAATTGGTTATTTTGCTCCACTTGGGATTCGGGGAAATCACTAGAATCGATTTGTTGCTAGGCATCGTATTTTGAAGGAAGCCTGTTTGTTGGAATCAAATCCAAATTCGAATTTCACGTAGTAGCTGCATGATAAGAGGTATTAATATAATCGCTATTTAACCTCTGGGGTTAGGTGACCTCTGAGGATATGTACCTTGGTAAATGGTTGTCGAGATACATATATAAAGCTCTGACATGTAGAGATGCTTAATAGATGGGAAAACTTTATTATTATAAAATAGAACCGGGTGGACCATTTCAGGAACCAAGAATATATAGAGATTCAGTTGTTTTTAAATTCTCTTAATCACCTGCCCGCAATTATTCTCTAAATCTCCTGTGAGCCCTGGATTACACGAAGGACAAAAGAAAAAAGCCAGAATGGAAGTTTCTTAAAAGAACTCAATGAGGTCATTAACAAATATATCCCCAGTTTGATAAGGATCTAGCAAGCCATTACTTCCTCTATTATGGGAACACCTTTACATAGAAGATGTCTTAAGTTTGATTGAAGACTTTTCGTTCAAACAAAGCAAAAGGAAATTCATTATATTTCTTGATCAACACCTATGAAAACATTAGTTTTGTTGAATTCGCTTAGTATTGATGAATGGGTGATGACTGACTGGCTATTTCTATTGTTCTACTCTAAGGAAGTGTAAGAAAACATCAAATCTGACTGATTAAACTTTCTCTTCTTTGTTTCCTTGTGTTAGGAAAAAGAAAAAGAAAAAAAAAACTTTCTCTTCCCACCTCTCTTCCCCACAACAGAAGAACTCAAATCCATTCATAGAACGCAATGTTTTTAATGTTTATTTATTGTTTCTGAAAGTAGGGGCAAAAATGGATTAATGAGCTTGGAGAATAAAAGTATTTTCTCCACATGGGGGAGTGGTTAGACAGATCTGGCTTCCACCCTGGGCCTCAAGTGCGAAGTTGGCGCTCATGCACTACTTACCCCTGTAGCTCAAAATATGGAATGAGAGAAAATAATTAAAGCCCCCAACACAGAGCCTGACACATGACAATTCATCAATAACTCTTAGATATTATTATTACTTCTATTATTATGTATTTGAATAAAAATACCTACTTTCAGAGTAGCTGTAAGGATTAGAGATCATTTAAGAAAAATACCTGGCTCAGTGTCTGCTTGAACCCATGGTGATTATTTTACTTCTCTCTGATGAAAAAGCATTATGGTTCATCTTTATTTGTATAACTTGAGAAATAATTCACCTATCTCTATACCTTTTGTGCAGAAGTTGTTAATTGGTGTAATAGTCAAAAGTACAGCACAGTTTAGCTCTGGCCTGTGCATTCACACTACTGAGTAAATTACCAAAAGTACCCGTCTCATGAGAGTTTGTTCTATTATAGCACAGCCAAACACTCTTATACAAATATTGAATCATCCCACAACAACTACCTTTTATTAAACTCCCTGGTTTTTTAATGGGTACACTTTTATTACAGATCTGAATGTTAGCAGAGCATTATATAAAAAATGTTTAAATAGCATTTAGTGTTTTTCTGATTTTAAAACTAATACATGTTCATGATAAACAATTTGCAACCTACAGAGAAACATAAAGAAAAAAATAAAAACCACCCAGAATTCCACCACCCACTAATAACCTCAGTCAATAATTCTATTTTTCCTTCTTGCCTTTTTGTGTGCACATATATATTTACTTTATAAAGTTTGCATTAGATGGTGTACATATTGCTAACATCCCTTTTAACTTAACATTCTCTCTTGAATATTTCACCAATGTTTTAAAGTCTTCAAAACATGTTTAATGGCCATATATTAAATAATATTATATCATATGTATAAACCACCAATTTATCCTTAATTTATTCAACCTGTCCCCAATTTGGAAATTTCCAACTTTTCTCCTGTAATTCATTTTTTCAAAAATATTTTTTGAATGCTTACTATATACTAGGCACTATGTTAGGCATAAGACTTAATTGGTGAACAGTAACTACAAAAAATAAGGTTTTAATGAACATCTTTGTAAACAAATCTTTGATGGCATCTTTCATTCTTAGACTGAATTCCTAGGACTATGAAAACATAACTTCAAAAGGCATTCTTTGAGCTTCAAAGGCAAAGTTAAGAAACTAAAATTCTAAAGTGTAAAATATTAACTTTTTGGAAAACTACCAACAACAGAATTAATATTTATTTTGTACAAAGTGTGAACTTACCCAGAAGATGCTTTCTTGTTAGTTACTGTGAAACACCAAGGACATTTGAAGTGTATTGACTTTAGCTTTTACCTCTAATTCTTTCCAGGATTTGCTGGTTTTCTCAATAGGGTGAGATTATTTGAAGTCTATGCAAATTGCCCTACTTCCTCCTCTCACAGTTAAAATGTTAACTATTTTACTTCCAGCTTTGCTCTTGTAAACATATGGCTTTTCTGCATTTCTTTTATTTATCTTCTTAAGTGAAACATTTGATGTCTTCACACTTATTACCCTGAAGGCAGCTTTCTTTCTTCTAAACCGAAATTATAATACACACATTCCTGTAAGGCACTGGACTTATATTCTATAGTTAATTTTGGTCAACAAACATCATGTCAAGTAACCAGTGCATTTAGGGATTTCATGTTGGAGATTATTTATTAAAAGCCATAACCTCCCCTGCAACATACGTATATACACACATATACACACATGCACACACCCCTTACTATTCTTTGGCAATTAAATTTTCATACTTTAGGTCGAACCATATGAAATTGCCATTTATGGATAAGAAATAGGCAAATAATGGCAACTTCATATGGTTCTATCTGTATAAATGTTTCATTAATTAGTTCATATTTTTTTCAACTTTCTCCAAATACTGAACTTCCTAATTATCATAGTAAAGATATCCTTTATTATTGCACAAGATTGTGTTTGTTTTGACTTTCATAAATATTAGAATCTAAGTCAGGAGGGTGCCATAAAATGTTTGTTTATTATTTCAAAGACAGTAGAGGGAGCCTGGAGCCAAAGCATTGTTAATGCAGGCCTCATATAAACGATGATTGTCTTCCAATTCTTGATATGTGGATGGATTTAAATACTGGTACATATGTGAAATAGCAATCTTTTTTAAAGGGTTGGTTGTGCTTAAATAATCACTTTGATAAGAGGGGAAGGAGAAGGTTGGTAGCTGGGTGGGCTGGACTTCATCGGGGTTTGCACTGGGACCAACCGGCATCCCATTGTTCTCCGCTCTTCTCTGAGTAATGCTGGAGACAGCACACTGCCACACTAACACATTTGTGCTGTACAATTTTTCTTCTTTCAACCTATAATGTAGATCATCCTTTCATTTCCATGGGCATTATATCATAATTCTTTATTGCATCAGAACTTCAAAATATGCTATCATTTCCAATTGTGTATCTTGATTTAAAGTCATTGTAGTTTAGTTGATTGCTTCCTCCAGACATGTAAGGAGTCTCTTTGATCCTGTCTACAACTCACATCCTTCTAGGAAGGTGTCTGATAAATTACCAGTCCTTTCACAGACCAGGAATTTTTGTTAACCTTAATTAAAGATGTCTCTTAGTGACCTTTCCTCAACCATCTGTATCCTTTTGTTAAAGTGCCCCCTATCCCTGGTGTTATAAAGGGGTTCCTAAGACAATTGGTGATGTTACCACTATTCTTCACTGTTGATAGTCTAGGGAGGGCTTCAAGTCCCTGAGGTAACATGAATCCCTAAATCTAAAGATTAAGATGGAGAAGAACCTCACTATTGTATTAATAAAACCTAAAAGGAATCCACAGAAGGTAGGTAGAATCAACTGCCTACAGCAGGGTTTCCTACACTGGTGTTAAGAGAAAACTCTTCCGGTATGTTAATAACACGCAGAGAAAAGAAGCAGTGCCCCCCCACCCACCTGGGGGAAATTTGTTTGTTAAACTGTTAAACAGGGTGGGTTTTTTTTTTGTTATTTAATGTAGAATGTCTCTGAGACTTTAATATGCTAATGTACTTTGTCAGTTTCTCAGAGGGAGATTTTTAACGTGTAGCCTTTCTCAAATTTATTTGACCAGGAAATTTCACTTTTTTTCTTAGTGCTGTTTGGGAACTCTTTGGAGAACTAGATACTTCCTCTGACTGTGATTTGAAGATAGCTCTAAGTGAGAAAAATGCCCTGTCCCTTCCCAACTTAATTGGGAATCAACTAACCTAAACTTGTAACAGAAAAAGCAAACAAACTTGGGAATCGTAACCAACTATATATTGAGATGAAGGGTGATGTTGCTAAGACTAAATACAAGTAGATTCCTTCTTTGCCTAAATCCTGGGAAAAGCGAATGTTGGAAAAACATTCCATTAGAGTGTAACCCTTCTTTTTTTTTTTTTTTTAACTACCTTTCCCCTCAACTAATAAACAAGCTTAAGTCAAATAATCTTAAAACAAAACAAAATGAAACAGAAAACAAAACACTTGGCACTTGGAAGTGCCCTCTTTTTCCTTCTTCTCTGCACCAAGTCTCTTCAAACATTTTCAGCCACTGCTTATCACGCTGGTGCTGGCTGTGTCTGCACCTTGCTGATGAAACTGCTCTGGC